AGAGAGAGAGAGAGAGAGAGAGAGAGAGAGAGAGAGAGAGAGAGAGAGAGAGAGAGAGAGAGAGAGAGAGAGAGATTTGTGACTTTGGGATTTTGATGACATTTCGATACAGGCTCGACATTGGGACAAAGACATTGGATGGGGGACTATTTGGGATCGATATTGACGACATTGTGTTGATGACATTCTCATCTCTTCCCTCCTCTTCGACTGATTCCCCTCCTTCTCATCTGTGTATGATCTGAGTCTGGCGCATTCTTCCTGTGTGTAGCGCCATGCCCCTTCACACCTTGCGATGATGATGATGTATGTTTGGTCTGCATTGCGACATTGATTGGTCTGATCATTGGCATTTCCGTCTTCTGCTGTTGCTATCCTGTACTATGTGAGAGAGGTTGGTTCTTGTTTCTGGTCTGCACCATAACGGTATGTGACAATTTGGAATCGAAGCAGACCTCTCAATCAAAGGATCTGCCCAATCAAGGAGCCAACTTGATTGATTGATCGATTGATTGGTTAATCAAGTGGGACTTGTCAACTTCCTACAAATTTTTTTTCTTCTTTCTTCTAAAGTTACAAATTCAAAAGTTTGGAATTTTCGCGATTCCGCGAATTCCGGACATCCACATATTTTGTGATTTTGTGAAATCCGGAATTCTACAAATTTCACGATTCCACGAAATGAGGAATTCCGAAATTTTCGGAATCCCGGAATCTTCGGACAACTATAATATTTTTCATGTTCGCCTCTGGGCAGTTTTAGGTTAATTAATCGCATTTTTTTTTTAATTCGAAATTTTGCGAGCCTTGCCTAGATCTCATTCATACACTCCTCCGAAATATGCCTCACTGATATCAGATCGACAAATATTCAAGAAAAAAAAAGGAGAGGAATCTTTTTTTTTTTTTTTTTTTTTGATTAGGACTGGGAATGGAAAATGCAGTTTGCATGCCTACCTGCGTTTCCCTCCCACCTAGGCCCTTGTCATCTTTACCGGTTTGGTAAGTGCCACGTCAGCAGTCAGCATCAATGCCAAATCAACAGTCCCACGTCAACAGCGCCACATCAGCAGCTGTGCCATGTCAGCAGTACCCACATCAGTAACAGTCCCATGCTAGCAGTACCACATTAATCAGCCGTGCCCAGTCAGCATGTTGGCTTCAGCTTTGGGCATGCTAGGCCAACTCGCCGGCGAGTCCATTGCCGATTCCCACCAACTCGCCGACGAGTCCATTGCCGATTCCCGCAAGCGGGTCCTAGATCAGCTCGCGCAGATTGAGGCTGAGGAACAGCGTCAGGCGGAAGCTCAGACTGCCCGCCTATAGGCTGAAGCGGAGGCAGTGGCTTCAGGCCGCAGCCGACGCAGATGCCCAAACCCGCCACAAGCAGGCCCGAGATCTGCTGCAGCGGCATGAAGCTGCCAGCGCCGACAGACTGTAGTTTTAACACTGTGAACCATTTGAGGGCTACGACTACGCAACACCGGAAGAGCAATACAAGGGTTATGAATATCGGTGCATGTCAAAGCAGAGGCCTCAGAAGTCTGGCTAGCGCCGGGTCCCCGACCGAAGGCGCCGAAGGCGTCGTTTGTGCATAGAAGCCATTACTTTACGTTCAGCTAGCCTTTGTCTAAAGTTTTCAAAGAAACTTCGTTTAGCTAATAAAAAAACAAATTCTTCTGAGAAAGGGAGAATTGACTTGAAAAGTCAACAGTGTTTTGAACTTTTGTTCCTAAAATCATTCCAATGGCTGCTAATGTTGCCACGTTGGAGTTCCTCTTCAAACTCGTGACCCGATTGGTTTATAACCAATTGCAGTCTGAGTTAGAGAAACAGCACCAAGAACTAGAGAATCTTTGTCAGGCAGTGCGGAACCACAAGGGTCTTCACGAGGATGACACATGGGCACTTCATACCCGTGTACACGACTTGGAGCAAGCAACACCAAAGACCAGATGTTGGCGAACCCTGCAATGCAGCCTCAACCCGCTGGTTAAAGCAATGACTCGACCATGTACTCGCGATGTTTGGCGACATAAACACTTTCTCCGCACCAGCCACCATTAGCGAGCAGCTCGACACCTTGAAGACTAAGGTTAGGCCGCTACAGCAGCTGCCGCCCGCCAACGATGGCCGCACCGGTGCACAACGGCAGTATAAGACGCCGACATTCCGGATCGAGAAGTTTGATGGCTTTACGCATCAGGACCGAGTTATTTGGTGGCAAGGTTTTATGATGGAGATTCGGGTTCATCGGGTCCCCAACCAGTTGTACATCTCGGCGTTGTTCCTCAACGCCAAGGGTGGATGCTAGATCTGGCTCACCCACATGGCAACCATCCACGACGTCCAGGTCGCCGACCTACACCAAAAGATGTCTTGGGAAGATTTGATGAAGGAATGGAAGCAGCCGTTCATCGTTGACGACACACCAGCGCTCGCCATCAACCGCCTCTTCGCCATGACTCAAGGCAACACACCGACACTTGACATGCTCACGGAATGACAAAGGATCGTGGCAACACCCGATCTCGACTTGCCATTTTCGAATCTGCGCCGCAAGTTCTACAACCGGTCGTGTGCCATTTTCGAAAAGTACACGACTTTCGCTGAAATCATCGACAAGGCCCGCCAACCGCACTTCCTGGCCCGTTCTTGGGTCGGTTGTTCCTAGTTTGACCCGAGAGTTCATTAAGACCAAACGGGCCGCTGCACACGAGAAATCCGCGCCACAACCAACCTATGTTGAGAAAGGAAAATTTGGTCCGTGTTCGCAGCCCGTCGCTGCAGTCCAACCAAACAACCTTGTGGAAGACCCAACAACCACTCCATCATCACGTAAGGGAGATCAGGTGGCCGTCGTCAAGCCGCGAAACAACTACAAATCCCGTGGAAAAGAGAAAAGGTGAAAACAACAGCGCCAATACCATGGGTGAAGTTTAGCTTGACTGAGGCCGCATACAAGTGGCGCAACCGGTATGGCTGCTGTTATTGGTGCAACAGCGCCAAGCACAAGACTGCCAATGCCAAGATCAAGGCAAGGAGGATGTTCGGACTCGAACCAGCTCGGGAAACTGAGCCGCGCAGGAGGTGAGGCGACTCCACCTCTCCCTCCGCCAGATTCCGCCGCCTTGCTAGCGGCCTCCTACACATCTGGGGAGAACGCGGATATCGCAAGTCCTCGGTACACTTCCGAGGATTACGTTGTCCACTTGGTCCCACCATTGGACCAGCCACTCCACGTGCAAGATTGAAGACTCCACCGCA